CTCAACCCTATACTTTTCAAGAACTAAGAGACAGTCCTCCTCTCATTTTTATAATTAGTTGTTTTGTTCTCCAGTTTTAGATTCAGCATCTAAACTTTGCTGATCACATATTCCAATACTGAAAAACAGGAAGAGGCTATTGCTCTAGAGGCTAGTATATTTTCCTGCTCCCCATTTCAAAAACTACACCAGTCTTTAAGTGAACTTTGTTAGTAAATTTTGTCAAAGATACTCATCTCATGGTCTGCTTCAAGTTTTCTCTCTGGCAAAACTTTACCCATCCTTACAGAATGGAAGATAGAGAAATAGTTCATAGATATTCAGTTGAGCACTGTTTGCAGACAGGTGGGTGATGATGAAAACTTGGTGAAGATACTCACCATATAATTGCCTCAGACCAAAGAATGCTCTGAAATACAGGAATTTGAGAGACTCAACAACTCATTTCCTATACAATCCTACTCCCGTCCTCCCACTCTAATTATTAGGCTCCTCTTCCTTACTAAGGGCACAAGACAGCACCATGGATGTATCCAAGTAAAAACAGATACCTAATTCATAGTGACCAAATCGGTGGCCTGAGAGCAACTGGTTAGGCCACTCATTTATCACTGGTGAATTATCCTAAATCCAGTGGAATCACATATTAAGAAAACCCCAAGGTTGCTTTGCAGAAATAAGGCCACAACTTCAAAAAATCCTGCAATTGTAGAGAGGTTTCCAAAAACAGCAACATTTGGGGAAGTTTAATCCACAGTGACTCTGAAATTGAATTCTTAAAGAAAAGGCAATTTTGGACCCTCATTTTATACAACATAAAGCTCTACAACTTCAACCATACAGAGAAACTTCTGTTCAGATAAGTTAGTACTAACCTGTGACATGTAAAAGTTCCTTACCCTACATTGTAAGGACATGATATGGGAAGTTTATCCTTCTAGTCAATTAGAAATTATTTAATGAAAATCATATACAGTATTTACCCCAGACACGTGCTATTAAATGTGCTGCATGATATTCAAAAGCTGTCAGCATAGGTGGGACACAAATGTCAAGGGCGCCATTTATTCTGACATTTTTCTCTGCCTCTTTCTGTTTCACCCCTGCAGATCTTCTTTATTGTGGTATTGCTGATTTTGAATTGCCCTGAATTGTGAAACATACAACTCTGATGCAACAGTCAGAGAAGACAGCATAACTTCAGCACCACTCCAACCACTACCAGCTTCCATTCTGAGCCAGTTTCTCCTAAATGTCTCACATGACATCTCCTTTTTATAAATTCTTCACACTCTCTCAGAAATCTCTAATTCAGTCACTAATAAGGATTTAAATTCTTCTTGAAGAAGTAGTCATGAAAAGTGACACAGATGTGAATGACTGACATGAAGTAGGGGGGAAAAGAAATCAAGTCAAGGTTTTAGCATGTTACTCACTGAACAACTTCTACTCCATCCATCTGTACTAAATGGGTGCCAAAACCTGGACATGTGAGCAGATGCTTGCAAGCACTGTTTGGCATACGTACTACTGGTGCTATTTCACACTGATGAAAGATGAAACACAATTCCCCTGAAGGAATTCTGTATTTTCTAAAATAAAAACTTACATAATAGAAAAAAAACACTGTAGATTCCTAACATTTTGGTATTATATCTACAGTCCCCAAATTTGCATTGTCCTGCTTTCTAATTTCATCTGAATATTTATGGATAACAGCCATCATTTTTAAAAGCACTTTAAAAAGTGCATCATTTTTATGCACTTAGGACATTTCTTCCAAAGTAACTAAACATGTCCAGACAGCCATCTGCATCACCTTATTGAACCAGACACCCTGCGGTGGGGCCTGCATGTGTATTTTGAAAAGCTCACTAGTGATTAGGAAATGTTTCCTTGGCTAAGAACAATTATTCTGCATCATTTTTATAGGCAAATAACTATGACACATACGTGTGCACATATGCATACACACATCACTATAAATCTACTTTATCCCTCATGGTATTTTCTACATATTCTCTTTTGTCATTCCGTTCTTTCTTTTGAATTTCCTGTTTATTTGTTTTCAAGATGGGATCTCACTATGTTGTCCAGACTCGTCTTGAACTCATGGACTCACTGCAGTGTCCCAAGTAGTTGGAGTTCAAATGGGCACCATAACAACCACGCTCTCTCTTTCCTTTGAATTTCTGTCTTTAAAATTGCCATAGCACTTTCCAATGTCAGGTAATTTGCCTAGAAAAATTTGATGTTAATCATTGTAGAGTAAGTCTTCTTTGGTTGTGCAGCCAAGTAACAACTAAGATCAGGAACTCCTTCCAGAAGAATGCTATTTTAACCTACAGTCATTTAACAAAAATATTTATTCAGTAGAGCCTGTATGTTATGGCAAAGGTTGAGAAGAATGCAAGAACAAGGTGTGGCCCTTGTGCTCTTTAATGAACACTTCTATAACTGGGGTGGAAGCAGATGGACAGGGTAAGAGCAGTTAAGAAATCACATAGGCAGCACGTGATCAATATTATTTGTATTCTCATCTTGCGCTCTGACGATTTGGGAGAAGTTGTGCTCATTCCAGATCAAACAGTCAGGTCACACTTCAGAGAGGACCTGGGATTTGAGGAATGGGTAGGGGACAAATGGGTGAGAAGAGGAAGCAGATGTTCCAGGTCAGAAACATGACACAAAGCAGGGCAGGAGTGAAACAGCCCTCAGGAAGGAAGAAGTCATTTGAGCAACTGACCTTAAGCAGGTAAAGGCCAAATTCCAGTTATTAGGCTAAGAAGCCTAATACTGATCCTAGAATTATAGAAAAGTCATCGAGGCTTTAATGCAGTAGAATATGGGAATAGTATTATTTTAGAACAATGTTTTGAGAGTTTCTTTGGCAAACAAAATTCTTGTGAGTAGCAGAGACAAAAAGGAGACCTGTGAGAGCAGTCAGGAGCTGAGCTACAGCAATGGAGTACAAAGAATTAGTGGAACTCAATGGCTGATTAGTTTGAGTTGCCAGCCTGTTACCAAACAGAGAGAAATAATTTCTATGCAAAGAAGGGAAGACGGAATAAGAAAAGAAGCTAGAGACCATGGAGCAATAGCGCATTAAAGACCACAGGAGAAATGCAGATGCAAACAAAAGTTCTGGGGAAAACAGAAGCATCTATTGCCGATCGGAAGATCGGAAGACAAGAAGAGAGAATCAAACAAGAACTCATCAACACTATGTCATACAGCACAGCAACAAAGGCCACTGGTATGGATTCGGCAACAATACATGCCTCCATGCCACAGCTGAACTCTTCTTTGAATCCTTTGCTACTGTTTGTACCAATTGTTTAACAAACACGTCTAGTTATTTTTAATATCTATCACTCACCCATACATACTCAGATATCAGGTCGTACTGTGTTGACACTGGTATAATAAGCTTCTTGGGGGAAGAGATCATCAAATGTATACTTTACGTACTGCCCCCCTACTGTGCCTTCATGTTGTCATGCCTCTAGCAAGCATTAAGAAATATTTTTACCAAATGTAATGTGACTGTCTTATTTATTGCGAGACACAGATAAAGACCAGCTGGATTCAGGGAAAAGTCATAGACACGAGTCTACCATTGGACCTTGCTATTCAAAATGTGCTTCTAAGTCAGCAGTATCAGTATCATCTGTGAACTTGTTACAAATGCAGAATCTCAACTGCCATAAGACCAAGTGAATCAAAAATCTGAATTTTAGCAAGATCCCCAATTACTGATGCCTATGTCCATTTGTATTTGAAAAAACAATGTGGGTACATGGTGAGGCTCTGATTCACCCCTACGCAAACCCATGGCTTGATGATGGAGCCCGGGCCCTTTGTAGATGTGGCAAGACCAAGTCAGGCAGCAATTCTAGCTTTTGAGCAGGAGCCCAGATGTATCAATCTCTCTATAAACTGCCACTAAATTTAATTATAGGAAGAGTTTTGCAGGTCACATCTACTTGGCTATTTTCCTATAAATATTCTGACCTCCTAAAGATCCTATTTATTCTCTCCATATTTACCCAGCTCTGGGATTTATATTATTCTGCCTCTCATTCATTCCTCTGTAATGTTAAGTTTCCCTCTCAGTCTTAGATTGTAATTGATAAAAATACTTTTCTGGCCTAATTGGAAGCCAAACCTAAAAATGTAACTCTAACCCCCAACAGAAAAGGCCCACAACTACAGGAGCTATCTGACAGTGTTATTTTTTATATAACCAGGTGTCAGGGAAAAGCTCACTAAACAAAGAATTGTTGGACAAAGGAACACTGGTTCTGGAGGCAGAATTTACTCTTCACTGGGGATGTACTCGAGGCTTTGATATCCCATCCTCTGATTTTCCTTAGTGTATTGAGCATCACTATCTCAAGATAGCATCATGCTAGAAGAACTCTTTGTGGAGCTTTCACTGTTTTTAACTGCTTTACTGACATACAATTTACAACAACCCATGAAGTTCACATTTTGGAAATGGAAGAGACTTTCATTCTAATCTCTGCCTTCAAGTAATGCTTCATTAAATCCACCTAGGAACAGAACATCAATTTAAGATTTCTTCAGTCTCCAAGAATGTATGACATTGTTATGACCTTCTGATAATATATCCGAATATCTCAGTTTTTATCAGTGGGGAAAAAAATGTCTTGACAAAATTCTATTAAAATTCAAACTACTGGGATCTAAAAAAGTACTGAGTTGTAACGCAATACTTCAAGAGCAGCTGGTCGAAAATACTATGGTCAGCAGCTCTTGTAATCTACTTACTTCACAGGAACTCCATTAGGAAGTGAACTTCATTTACTATTTCCAAAATGGAAATCACAAATCCTTACAAACTATTGTTCCCCAGTTTTTTCTGAACTGTTTCCCCACCAGATGGCCAGCGTAAATCTGTTATTTTTCCCCTCAGGGATGCATGAGGACTGAGGCAGGTTTTTCCTTCAAAAAGGAAAAAAAATAAAGCAACTTACATGCTCTCACAGAATCTCGTCAGGGTACTGGGCTTCTCCTGGTTGCGCCTTTGTCGAAACCAGCGTTGAATGCTTCTCACATCCCAGTCCAGTTGCTTGGAAAGGCCTTCCAATCTTTTCTCATCAGGATGCTGTGAAATAAGGCACCAAGAAAAGCACTTTCAATCCATTTTCATTTTCACCATAAACAGATCTGTCCTTTTGTCTGAGGTTTTTTAACATATGTTTATTACCTGCTACCAAGATTTCAGTATTTACCACTGAACTTTCATTAGCAGCATGAATATAAATAACCACTAAGTTAGTCATCAGGAAACAAGATGGAAAAATATGAATCTTGCCCTAATACTTGCAGTTCTTCTCATCGGCAATACACTTCCTAAAAGGCAACCAAGACTTGATGGAGCAGTCAGACAACTGGTTAAGTCAGATCCATCAGAAGGGAGTGCGGGAAAGGAGAATTTGCCAAAGAGGCTTAATCAAGCATTACATTTTCTCAGGAAAAAAAGTTATACCTACCTATTACATATCTGGAAAATGTAAGAGAGACAGAAAGCATGGAAAAATCCCAAAATGCTCTACTTAAGCTGAAGGTGCCACATTTTCTCGTATTCCCTCCTTCCCCATTCTTCACACATCCCTCTTCCACTCCTTTTCTTGGTCATTCCTCTTTTTCTTCTTATACATTTTTGGTGAATTTTATGATGTTTTCATACATGTATATGATATATTTCAATCATATACATGTATGTGATATATTTCGATCACATTTGACCTCTTCTGACTGTGTCCTGTGTCCAGTCTTTTACTAACACTATGCACTACTTGTAAAAGCAAACTTGGTAAAGCAGACAGAGATGGCCCTGAGTCAGCAAGCACAGGTTCAGTTCCTCACTCTGCTGACCTGAGCCTCAGCCTCCACATCTACAAAAATAAGAGTTGTTTACCAACCTGAATGGAATTGTAGTAAGAAATAATGTGCAAAAACTGGGTAAATATTAATTTTCTCTTCTGTCTCTTCTCTTTCTTCAAAATGTTCAAGATGATCCTGCCAGCTATCACGTGAGGGTTACCTGCTGCACAATAAATCTAGCCAAGTGAGTTCTTTTATTCTCTTTGCTTTAATATTAATGATCATGAAAAATAATCAACAGGGGAGTAAGAGAAGGCAGACTGACCAGGCTCCACTTACAAGGATGGGATGCACATCTGGCTCCTTTCTAAAAGCATCTCAGCAACTCAAGGGGTCAAGGTCCCCAGACAATTTGTATGTTGAACTCCAATCCCTAGTGTGATCATATAAGCAGATGGGGCTCTTAGGAGGTGGTCAGGTCACAAGAGTGGAATTCTTGTGATGATATAGTGCCCTTATAAAAAGACACACCAGAGAGACTGTTGTCCCTCCCTCCCTTCTCCTCCTCCTTCTGTTCTCTTTCTTTCTTCCTTTCCTCTTCTTCTCCCTCTCCATATCCCTCTCCATTGTGGGGAAGGGGCTTTCACCAGAAACTGGACCCAGATCTCAGATTTCCAGCCTCCAGAACTGTGAGAAATGAGCATTTATTGTTTAAGCCCCCAGTCTTAAGGTATTCCGACATGGCAGCCTTTACTGATCAAGACAGTCAGACACTAAGAAACCACAGCAAATGGTGTTAGGGTACAGAATGTGCTGACCTTGTACCTATAAATGTTACCTGGCAGCTTTCTATTTCACGTGCCTGAGTTCTTTTTAAGTACTGATGATGTCATTTATTCTCCTTTCATATCTCCCAATGAATAATAAGGGAGGGAGAAAACACACTGCCTGCAAAATATGTTAGCTATGCAATTTTCCTAGGGAAATTTGTTTTTAATTCCAATTTATTTCCTAAATTTACTAACAAAAGAAAACATTTCATGGTGCACAAATGAAAAATCGTCGAAGTTTCACCTTCCAACTTTGTTCCTGTCTTCTCAGTCTCTCCTCTACCCTCCTTAACAAGTAACCACAGGCAATCAATCAGTTTCTTTCTAGTGTTATTTTACATAAACACAAGCAAAGTCAAATATTCATTCTTTTGTCCCCGCCTTATTACACAAATGGTTGTATATAAAGGATTTTGCTACAGACTTTGGGTTTTTCCCTTTACAATGTGCCTTGGAATATTTCCATACCAGCATACACAAAACACCTTCATTCTTTTAGAGAGCCGGAGGGATTCTGCTGTTAATGGACATCAGGCAGCATCCACACTTCTAACAATGCTGCAATCAATAAGCACAACATGAGACATTCTGTAGGATAGTTTCTGGAAATGAAAGCTGTAGATCAACAGAGTTTCTGCTTTTGTAATTTATTTCAATATCATAAAATTATTTGAGCCGTGTGTGGTAGCATGTGCCTATAATCCTAGCTACTCAGAACGCAGAGGCAGGAGGATTCCAAGTTCAAGGCCAGTCTGGGCAAAAGTACCGAGACTCTTTCTCAAAAACAAATAAAAACAAAAAAGGACTAGGGACATAGCTCAAGTGACAGAGCATTTGCCTAGCATGCATAAGGCCCAGTATACCAAAAATTACCTGTATTTCTCTTTTTTTGTGAAGAGTACACACATGTCTACTGCCTGTTTTTGTTCTTGATCTCTTGGTATTTTCTTTAATGATTTGTAGGATTACATCACTTATTAGGGTCACTAAACCCTTGTTTGTATGTAAGTTGTATACTTTTTACCAGTATGTCATTTGTTTTAAAATTTGTTTAGTGTTTTTCTTGTTTTTTATACATAGATGTTTGCTAAAAATATGTATTTGATTCATCATTCATTTCTGTAATAGTTTCTAAATCTGGAATCATGATTAGAAAAGCCTCTTTACTCTAAGTGTTCAAAACTTTTTCCAGCTTTCCCCCTAATACATTTAGGGTTTTGATTCACTCATCGTTTCCCTGTCAAAAAACCAATCCACTCTTCCATTAACCCATTATTCATTCAAAAGCCAGCAATATGCAGTTTTCTTGGGATCTTTATTTTTCTATCTGAACTTTAGAATTGGCTTGTCTATATTTAAAATTTTAAATTTTTCAAACAAGGAAAAATTTTGGTATTTTTAATAAGATTACACCAATTTCTTAAATTAATGTAGGGTAAATTAATATTTTTACTCAATTTATCTATCATGTCCTTAAAGAGGGTTTAAATTTTTTCCTCATATAATTCTTCAACAAGGATGCTATGTTTATTCCTAGAGATATACTTTTTGGTCTCTATTAAAAATAAGACATTTTCTTATAATCTTTTTGCCACATATTATCTGCATATATACATATATTCTCATATGCACATATATTCACATATATATGAAAGCTATTGGTTTTTGGTTACTAATTTTGTACCAAAATTTCATGCCATTTGTGATATGTTTTCACTCAATTCCTTTCCTTTTCCAGGAATGCAATCATATAACAGCATACTACTGGAATATAAGCTCCATAAACAAAGGAAACACTTAGTATCTTTTTTCACCAGTACCTAGATTATAGCAGAATTCAATAAATACTTTTTTGATGAGTGAATATATCTGTAAACACCAACAGTTTTGCCTCTTCTTTTCCACTTTTTATGGCTTTTTCTTTCTCTTACCTACTTGCTAGATCAATCCCATATGAGGAATATTTAAGATTAGTATTATTTCCTCTTCCTCCCTTCCATCACCTCTACCACCCAGCTCTTGTCAATAGTATTATCGTCCTTAGCATTTACTCTTGTTCTGTTAAATATGCTCTACTTCTATTTGATCTGCCAGCTTTAACTGATAAACTGACTCCCACCTATTAGAGATTATGCAATCAGAAAACTTTACTTCCCACTTTCTTTCCCCTTCCCCTCAATTAAAGCTAGTTGCATAGTTTTTACATTGTGAGAACACAGAATGTTAATATTTTGTTCTGTCACTAGCCCGCACATTTTTTTCTCTCTTAGTTCTACAGTTTAAATAAATTTAAAATTCACAAACCTTCCCAGCAATATTTTGGTTAGCTAAAAGTAATGCTTTAATCATCTCCACGAGAAACAGCAGAATAAGAGAGAAAAAAAATTATAGAGAACCTGCCTACAATTTTTAAATATAGTCGAATGTACCAAACATGAATCCTGATATGATTTCCCTGGACCAGGAAACCTGGCTTTATAGCTGCCATATATTCTTACCCTAACAGCTTTAGAACTGATTTGATTAGAAAAGTGAGGTAGTTTCATAAATATGTATGAATAACAAGGCAAGAGAATCCCAAAAAGTTAAATTTTATACACATATATACATACATATATATCCAGATAAATCTGAATATAGTCAGTTAAAAGACAGGCACTCAGAAATATTTGCTAAAGAGCAACAACCACTCTGTTTATTTGACTGGGTCTGGAAAACCACAGTTGTGGATCCTTTGGTTTCATCCCCAAACTACAGAATCATATTCTCTAGAAATACAATGCAGCAACCTGCATTTAACTCCTCAGATGACCCTAATGCAAATTAAAGTGTGTAATCACTGGCCCAAATAGATGCTATGTCATCTACTGAATGGTTTCCACACATTATTTGATTTAACCCTCATGAAAGTCTGTGAGGAAGTTATTCATATTTTTATAAATGAGATATCCTCACCCTGGGAAGGCTAAGAAACTTCTCAAAGTCCAGCACTAGGAAGCAGGAGGGACACTATTTCAATATACAAAATCAAGTTTCACTCACTCAAACACCAAAGTCTCTAGGTCTTTTGTAACAAAGGCTAGATTCTCTGAAAGGTTTACAAAACATGAGATTTGGGAAAGGAGAGACAGACAGGCAGGCAGATGTTACCTTAAAAGATGAAACTGTCAGAAAATATACCAGCTTCATAGATGAGGGAAGGTGACCAGTGTAGTCACACAGGGCAGGGCCCCACTTTCAACAGCACCCAACTTGTGGTTTAAAGGTCTGTGGCTGCCATCTTGAAATTCTACATAGTTTTATCATGGTATTTGTGTCTTGCAGGTGAAGTCCAATGGAGCAACAGAGCATGTTCCAGGAGCTTGGAGTCCTGGTTCATGAACAGTCCTACCACATCCACCAGGTGGGCTCTGGTTCACTCTTTTCCCTGTCCTTTGGCTCCCAGAAACCACCTGCCTCCTCTCTATGCACAATTTACTGACAGCTGCTACCTTCAGCCCCCAGCAAGAGCCTGAGTGTAAGCAAAGGGAGTGCTGGGGTTTGGTTTGTTCTACCTCAGGGAGTTTCTCAGGCTGGGACAAGGCAGCTACCACAGTGTTGTTTGGCAAGTGACTCAACAGGGGAGAGCCTCTTGCCCACCTGCAAACTGGGCACAAAAGTTGCAGTGCTCTTGGAGGTCATCTGTCCACCATGGTTGGAACAGTGGAACCTTAGACTGGGGAGAGGCCAGCCTGAACTTATCCATCCCCCTGTTCAGGGCACAGTGTATCAGTCAGTGGCTGTAGAAGAGGGGTGCCTAGCTGCTGGAGTGTGCACTGTCACAGCGTAGGGACCCTGTGTAGGCCTGTGCTTGCCCTGTAAGTATCGCCATGCCGAGGCACGTGGCAATACAGAACAAATTATAAACACCTGAAATGTAGCTTAGTGGTAGAGAACATGCCTAGCAGTCACAAAGCCCTGGGTTTGATATTTTCTTCCTTGAAGTATCATAGGATATCTGTCCCTTCAGGTTAGAATGTGGCAATCTAAAGTCATCCCCCAAAACTATTAAAAGAGCTTTTCCTAAAATTTCACTCATTTTCTTCTTCTTTCCAAAGATTTAAAAAAAAAATTAAACTGCTGCTTTCTTATACTTTTCCAGGAAAACTTCATTTTTTAAAGGATAGAGAAGAAACTCAGAGAATTCTGGCAGAAAGGAAGACCATAAAATAAGCAAAAGTGTCTGGATATTCAAAATAATAGCTATAAAACAAGAGACAAACAGTACCACTGGCTAACATCACACATACCCAAAAAGGAACAGAATTTGCTTAACACTGTCAAATTGCAGCTGAGAAGCCTGAGTGATTCTTCCAGAAAAATGAAAGAGGAAAAAAAAATGAACCATTTAACAAATGAACACACAGTACTTCTCATGGAAGTTACCCTCCTGTTCTTTTCTTTTTTATTGTCCAGGCAAGAGTAAGATGAGGTAGATGAGGGAGCTATGAGAGTGAGACAAGATGAATAAGCTGTATGATTTGCTTTACTTTCTTATGGCTTTTGAGTGAGACCTTCTGACTTCAAGAGACATCAATTTGGACTACCCTCCTCCCTTCCTCCTCTGCCCTCTTCTTCCCACTACTGGTTTGGACTTTAATTTCCACCAGATTGAGAACCTCTCTCCTATCTTTTATTCTCCTCTGGGAATCTTTCTCTTCACTTCTAACTGCTGACCTGAGTATTCCATTCCTTCACATTGCAACTCTTTTCTCTTTCAAATATGCTCTTTTGTTGTTCACATTTGTCTATTTAGCATAACTCTACAACACATGGACAACACTGTAAGCCTATAGGTCCTGTTATTCACACATACATAAATTATACTCTTCAACTCTGCCTAGTCACCTCCAAGAAGGACCACCCAGCCTTTATCTGGATTGCTTCATATCCTCTGAGACTAAAAGAGACAATGCATTGGTCTAACTCCTATTTAATCAAGACTGTTTTCCACAGACAAAGCTTGTAAAATCGACTTGAGTCAAGTAAGAGGTCACAACCATGCCTTCCTTTACTCATCATTACTATTTGGATCCAATCCCAGTGCTTGCTTCCACTCCAAAGACCTTTTTTTGTAGGACAAAAGTTGTTTCTCAAAACTCAGGAGAAAACGGATGAAATGTCTGTAGGCTGAGGAACAGTGGTGGGGACAATCCGTACTCTTGGAACAAACATGCATACCTTTGTAATTGCAGTGAAGACCTTCTCCAGGATGGCATTTGGCTGAGCAATTTGTGGTCCATTGGCCTGGATGTTGAGGGCTATGGCACATGGTTTGGCTACAAATCTAAAAATTAATAAAGAGAGAGAGAGTTGGAAGTTATTTTTTCTGTAGCTTTTTGTTTTGTTTTCTTTTTTGGTGAGACTGGAGTTTGAACTTTGAATTTGAAAAGCAAGCACTCTACTGCTTGAGCCACATCTCCAGTCCATTTTGCTCTAGTTACTTTGGAGATGGGGGGGTCTCGAAAACTATTTCCTGGGGCTGGCCTCGAACTTTAATCATCCTCATTTACACCTCCCAAAGAGTTAGGATTATAGGCGTGAGCCCCTGGTGCCACGTTTCTATGGTTGTCCTTAATGCCATCAGCTATACGTTATTCAATTATCCCTTTAAAGTGCTAGTAAGGTTTCATGGGTGTACTCTGCCAACATTCAAATGTGCAACTATAAAAGCAGACTTCACTGTTTTTCTCTCTTTTAGTTCCCCCAGCAGTAATATTACAAAAAGAAATCCTTTAAAAATATTTAAACTTCCTGATCCTCAAGTTCTAATGAAACTTAACAGATAGAAAGACTATCAGATGAAAGTGGGTATATAAATGAGGTATATAAATAAAATAAAGTACAATTTTAATGATATAATTTAGTCTTATAATACATTATCAAGTCATATTTTGTTATACAAATGTGTTTACGAGCATCTGATTATATTTATAGCATGCCTTTTATCACCCCAGTCATAAACTTGATCATTTTTGTCTCTGTAACCAGTGTTCAGTCCCAATCCCTTGTGGCTTTTTAAAATTCTCTGCTTTGTGGTTACTTGCTTCTTCCTCACAAGCAGTAATGAACTATGTCAAGTGGCATGATGTCCCAGACAAGTTGAAAGGCTTAAAGTGTTTATGAGCATCAGCAGAACTGTTTTTATCCTAAGAAAAGAAGAATGGGAAGGCTGCGCCCCATTTCCAGTGTCTGACATGTGAAAGAGACTGTGAAAGAGAGTAGGTGGAGCGCATGGGGCACAGAGGGATGGTGATGTGTCTAATAAAATTGCGGTGAAAAAAAAGCACTTTCATCTTCAAGAGATTTTAGAATAACTTCTCAAGAAATAAGCTTCTGTAAATATTCATTTTCAGAAGTGACACTGATTATCTTCCATTAATACAAAGCAATTTAATATCATATGGAAAGTATTACCCAAGTTAATTCAATGTTGGCCAAAGGCAACGACTGATAAATGTACAAAGCAGATCATGAGTAAACCTTAGATAGGCTTCTTTAATAGACATCAATGAGAATAAAGAACAGTAGACAAGGAATGAACTTTTTAATGGGACTAAATGAGGACGGCATACAAAGTACCACATAATATCCTATTGAGTCCTGTTTCAAGTAAAAGTGAAGAAATTTATTTAAACAGGAAAACTAGAACACTGTACACATGAAACTCTCAACCGGGAAAGATATACACAGAAAATACAGTACAATACCTATTACACTGGGATTTCTAGGATGAAACTAGCAAAAAGAATACTCACTAGTTCCCAATTTGTAAACCGCTTAGAAAGTGGAATGTTCCCCATACTTTTGCCTTCTCTTTTCTTTTTAATGTAAAATTTCCTGAGACACGTAACCCACATCCCTACCTTCTTTTCCTAATTATTCTGGGTCTTCATCGTGAACAATAATCCTGGTGCCATGGCTAAGCTACAGTGCGGAAAAACTTGGCGTTTAGTGGACAATGACCGTAGGGGAGTCCAGAACTTGTTCTCTTGAAAAATTCTCTGCTTTCCGGCTATCTGCCAACTCATCATAATGAGGGCTGTAAAAGACATGAGATGCTACGAGAAATAAGGTAAAAGAGCAAAAGTAATTCAGCCTAAAGGCCAAAGCCAACTTTTCAAATGGTTTCCCTCTACTCTTCCTACCTAGACTTCTTCCCAGCCCTCTATGTCTTCTCCACTCCCACAATCTCTAACACACTACGCTCAAATTCCCTTTGAGATTTTGTCCCTATCATCCTTTTAACAACCTCTTGGTCTGCAACATTGTCTTCTTACTTATAAATAGTGAAGAGTCTGAATGCAGAGGCTGGCCTTTTCCCAAGTATGCCCCAAGCAGAAAATGACAGATTTCTTTCCCAGGAAGGTCAATGCTATAATCAGCTCCTCATTTTGATTTACTAGTCAGGATAAGTTCCAAATTCTGAGGATTTGGGAAAAGGTATGTATACATGAAGAGTAATGAATGAGTTTAAGAAAATTTAAAGAGTGAAGGTCTTTAAATTTTAAATGGCCCATGTAGGGTTTGCAATAAATCAAACCATGTGAATTCTTTGCAAAAAGGTACAGTGTTCTAGGATGTTCTTACTTAAATGTATAGGACACAGTGAGCATTCAATAAATATTTGATGGGTGAGTGAATGAATGAATAAATGAACAAATCAAGCTGGGCACCAGTGGCTCACACCTGTAATCCTAGCTACTTAAGAAGCTGAGATCAGGAAGATGATGGTTTGAGGCCAGGCTGGTCAAAAGTTTACAAGACACATCTCCAAAAAACCAGATCAAAGTGGACTGGAGGTATGGCGCAAGTAGTGGACAACCTGCTTTGTAAGCACATAAGCCCTGAGTTCAAACCCCAGGCCCACCAAAATAATGATGATAGTAATAATAATAAAATGAAAAAAATCAGCTAAAATAAAATGGTAAGTACATTACTATCTTTTCCCTTGAATATCACATCTTTTCAGGGTCATCTGGGACTCAGAGGGTAGGAAAGCGACCTTCCCAATACCAGAAGCCATTTCCATCATTCACATCCCCATCCCCTATGATGTCAATAATGCCCCAGAGAACACACTTATGGACCACACCAACCCCTCACTAAGGATTCTTTTCTTTCACTAATCCAATACAGCAAGTAAAGCATTTAATATTCAAGACAGAAAACTGCATAAAATAGACAAAAAAATGAATCTTAACTCCTCAATAGGAGATGAACAGATAACTCATATTCCTAATAATATGCCAGTTTAGATGAAAATATAGAAATTTTATTTCTGTTTATTCTCCAAAGATTTTGTGAATTATCTGTAGCATTTTTTTTAGAGTATCTTAGAATCCAAATTAAAACCCACATCACACCTACTACAATTTTATCACTTTCTGTCACGGCCCATTAGATTAAAGTTGGATTTTTTTTTAATGCTGGCCCTAAGAGAAATAAGTTCACAAAACAGTCTTTTGCAATAGTTGGAAAGACCAGCAGAAAGATGGGTGACAGGCTAGCGCACAATCATTGGAAGTAAGAGTGTACTTGCAAGCCATACAATTCCTCCACCAGGAAGTGCTCACCTAATTACTTTATCAAAAGCAGAAACACTACCTTCAAAAGATCAAATATCTATAAAGTGCTTTCATGCACTATATTTGAAAATAAATATAAGGATGTAAGCTTTGAAAAGTACTGGTCTAAATTAAAAAAGCAGAGAAAATCTCTAAGACATTCCTATTTTTTTTCAGTTCTTTTGAACAACATGTATTTGTATTTGAAACATGAATTAGACCTCTGCACAGCATCCTGAAGGAAGTAGTGGGCAGTGCTTTGGTGACAGGTCTACATGGAACATGGAACAATTCTCACATTCAAAGAAGTTTAAGTTTACCATCTAGAAAAGGGGATTATTTTTTAGAGACCTTTACACGGTACATGTTATTTTTCTAGTTACTTAAAAGTACTTGGCTACTGGGGAGACAGAAGCAGGAGGATCAAAGTTAGAGGCCAGCTTGGACAAAGTTAGGGAGACCCTGTCTCACAAACAACAAAAATGTAATCAAAAGGCTGGGGCATGGCTCAAGTGGCAGAGCACTTCTCCAGCACATGGATCATCCTGAGTCAGATCTGCAGAACCATTAAAAAACAAAAGCAATCATCAATGGGCAGCATGGCCAACACGGTCAGACCTCTCCAAAGACAGCTGAAAGCCTGGATGGAGCATATGCAAACCTATGCATGTGATAAACTCTCTCTCCCTTCTCTCCTCTCTTCTCTTTCCCCTCTACTGTCCCTCCCCCCTTTACCCCTAAGTACAATTAAAACTGGAGAAATCTGAGTAAGATCAGTAAATTGTATCAATGTCAATATCCTGGACATGCAGTATCACTAGTTTTACAGAATGCTATCACTGGAGGTAAGTGGGTAAGCTGTATATGAGATCTCACAGTACTGATTCTTATTACTATATGTGACTCTGCAACTTTCTCCATAAAAATTTCAATGAAAAAACTCATTGGAGTGGGAGTTCAAGGCCTGACAAAATTTCTGCATAAGTTGCACAACACACCAACACCTTCCCCTCTCCAAATCCTAAACAAGAAACAAAATCCACTGCCCAAGGGCACTGGAGACTAAAGACAAAGAAACAGACTTTGGAAAGGACTCAAGAGTTGGAGTGAGCAACCAGCAAAGAGTGAGTTCCCTGTCTGCTCATTTATGTATTTATTTTGTAGTTTTATCCTGAGATCAGACACAATCACATGGCAGGTACAACTTTCACAGAAAACACTCTTTCTTGCTGCAGGAACCAGTGGAAGGAGCCTTGAGAAATCAGAGAGGGGTCAGAGAACCACAGAAGAAAAAAGGCAGAGAAGAAAACCCTAATCTGTGCATAAACCAAGCACAATTCTGGCTGAATTCTGAACCTTGAATATCCAAGGTAAACTGAACACAGCTAGCAGCTAAGGCTTAAAGAATTGAACTAAGACTGAAGCCACTGTCTAGTGCAAAGTGCAGCAGGCTACAATTGAGTCTAAGTAAATTGCCTGTTAACAAAAACCTCAACGTTTTTCTGAGCAATGTGGAAAAAAATCCAGAATCTCCACAATATAACTTGTACCATGCCCACAGTACAATCCAGTATGTTAATGAAGATAGAATCTGCTCTTAGAGGAATAACATGCACAGGAAAATTTCAGTGAAGTTTAGCTACACAATCTGAAAAAGAGAGAGAATATATACTGTAGAACCATTTTTAAAAGTCTAACATGGTAACTGGAGCTCCAAGGG